CCGACGCGAAGCGATCCACCGTGTGTGGGCCCCACTTGCGGTCGAGAACCTCAAACCAGACTGGGTTCAGCTTCCAGTCGTCCCCATCCTTCAACTTGCTGAAGTAGTCGGCAACCTCATTCAACTCACGAGGGATCCAGGACACACTCAACTGCACCTGGTGCTCCTTGCACCACCAGAAAATCTTCAAGGCCCACTCCTGCAAGTGTGCCTTCCGACTGCCGTGATCAACAATACGCTCCGCATTCTGGCTGTCCGTCAGCAAGTGCACTCGCCGCCCTCTCAGCTCTTCCTTCAGGGACTCGAGAGAGAAGAAGATAGCCGCCAGCTCGCGGTTCCCCGACGAAGTACGACGCAAGTCCCAAGACAAGTACCCCCGTGCGACCGGTTGCACTGAGCGTAGCCCTGGGCCTGACACAACACCCGCCCAGCCTGTAGCGCTAGCGTCAGAGTTTACCTCCAGCACGTTGACCTCCGGGGGTCGCCTGATAGGGCTAGTCAGCCGCTCCCGGTCTAGCGACTGCCAAAAGCGTAATTCCTCCCGTACCTCCGGGGTAACCGTGACCTCACTCGACCACCCCCAACGGACGGGCAGCAGGGCTGTCGACGCCCGCGTGAAGAGACGCCCCAAGCGCCCGACTACAACGTACATGCTCACCGCGTGTCCCACGACGCGTGCCAGAGTCCTGGCTGGAATGCTAGGCCGTGCTAAGGCCTCCGTGACCGCTCCCTGGAACGATTCCCAACGGTCTGTTGGGACTACAAACACCCCTTTAGCGCTGTCCACCAAATAACCCAGACAGCGCACCTCCGTCGTGGGAGTCAGCACGCTCTTCTCTTTATTCATGGCGACGCCCGCCCGCTCGAACTCACGCACGATCTCGTCCCGCCGGCTTGCGGCCGTGGCGCGATCCGACCCCAACAAGAACAAGAAGTCGTCTAGATAGTTAATGAGCCGATAGCCTTTGCCCCTCAGGTAGGCTGAAAACTCGCGCATAAGTTTAGAGAACGCCCACGGG